TACCTTCTCCAGCCATTATAAATCTTGATGTTGTTTAATTCTAAGTGCCATGATGAATAAATGAAAATAGATTGTAATACAAGATATAAAAACTGTTTATTTATACATCCATTTAGATATAACATCTACTTTTATCACACTACAAGTTCTCTCTCAACAATCTAGTGACACTACACAGATGGGAATAGTCGACGTTAGCACATTTCCAGATGAATGTGCCGTGTAACCAATTTACAATGACGATGATCAGCATTTCAAAGATACATATTCGAAACTGGTTGCTTAAACTAAACCACACATATAGATCCAGTGACTATACATTTGACTGCAAGTTCTTTAATTACATATGGTCCGTCCTTCAGCTAAAATCCTTCTAGTTCTATCACTGCAGCAGTCATGATAATAAATGAGTATATATTCAGTTAAACATCAGTTTTAACTCACTTTGGTATGTACACTATAACATTATCTTCAGGAAAAAGTCCAGTCCTCAGACGGATCTGTTCAGCATTTGCGGTTTCAAATCGAGAAGTAAGAAACCATATGTCTGTCTCATTGCATCTTGATAAGTTTCTTCAAAACATTTCACACATGCTGGAAACATTTGTCTCATTAAAACATTCAACTGAGATTTGTCTCTGACATTCGTGAAAAAAATAATATACTGAAAATATAAATTGATACTACACATTTCTCTACCCTGATGAACTAGATCCTGTACAATGTAAAACATTGATAAATTCAAATGGCGACTTCCACATGTAAAAAGTTGAGACAGTCGTTTATTTTCTCCACTTTCACTCATAAGATCATTAATGATCAAAAGATTTGGTTTATCAGACCATAAATAACCATGAAATTTTTCAGGTAATCCTTTGACAAATAGAATGTTGGGAACATTTTGCATTAATCTTGTATACATGTGTTGAAATTTACCATAAAACCATATAATGTTTTCAAGAATAGGATAGATAACTTCACGATGGTAAGTTAAAACAAACTCTGAGTTACCACTTCCTATTGGACCTGACACTAAACACATACAATGGTGTAGTAGATGGTTATCCATTTTGAACTCTAATGAGAAATAAATGAAGCAGGACACATCTTATATAGATCATGTTTGAGTGCACTTGGAATCTGCCCCAAAGGCCCTGCACATGCCCTCTTTTCAGTCCATAGACCATGGTGAGGAATTAATTCCATTTGAAGAAAAAATCAGTATCCATATGGAAGGGTGTTAAAATCTGGAAGGATGTATTGTTTGGTGTAAACTGGATGATAATTCTTCTTTTCTTTCTTGTTGTAAATGGTCTGAGTTTTTAATTCTCTACAGTCTTTCTGTGATTAGTGACAGCTATAGGAGACTGAAAAGGACTTAATATATCAGTTATCTTACACTTCATTGATGAGAAGTTCAACTTTTCACTGCTGATAAAATTGAGGGTAAAACCTCTAATTTTACAGCAAGACTTTCTATCATCACATAAATAACAATAGTTTTTTGGACCACCACTGTCCCATGATGTTATATAGTGTCTGTCCAGTTTGTCTGTAAACTTGCCAAGATAATTCCCCTAGAGATGGGTTGTTAAATCCATTTGAAATGTAGACAATACTGTCTGTATCATGATACAATATGGATTAACCTAACTTCGTTAGTGTATTATATAACTTCAGAGGAATGTGTGCTGTTGGGAAAGCCACCAGAAAGAGGTTGGTTTGATCTTTATGAGATAGATATTCATGTTCATGTTTCCAATTCATTAAAATGCTGAATGTTATTGTTGAGTTGTTTAATTATTGTGCTGTTTTGTGAGTTGCAATCAGAGGAAAGGTGTCTGATCACACGTCTATAGATTACGCTAGAGATAACCAGTTTAATGTGTGGGTCTAATGCTGAAGATATGTGCTATTGTGCTTTCAAGTTCTGAGAAACAGTCTTCAGCAGTCTTAGTGTATTGTTTCAAGTCGTTAGTGCCAAAGTGAATTATCAGAAATCGGACAGATTCAGGAAGAGAACTGGTCATAGTTATAGCATCTTTTATTTTTGCTCCACTGATGGATTTTGAAAGGATTGTGTGTCCATTAATAAAGATTAAGAAGTTCAAGAAGTCTTGATAGAAAATGATAAAAACTCTATAACACAAGCACTTTCGAAAGGTAGACCTTTCTTCTTCAAGGTCAAACTGAAAAAAGTGGTGTGTGTGTTGTGCCTGGCATAACGTGAGCGTTATGTAAAAAGATGATATTCTACTTTAGAAATTGTTAAAAAAAAGAAGAAAACTATTCTTAAGTGTATAAGTAAAATAAAGGTGACACCTGTAGGCTGAATGAAAAGAGATGTCAAACTAATTGATTTATACAAACAGGTATGGACAATTAACTTAAATAAATAGTAAGTTTTAGAAACATGAAAGAAATATGCAAAGAATAAAAAATATTTTTCTGACAGAGATGAAACCAATGATCGGAGATCACTGATTCCAGGTTCTAGATTGATTCCAAAAGGTCGAACAGTGTTTAGATTAGCGATCCAATAAGCTTCTTTTATCTCTCTATCAGCTTTAGTTTTGATTCCTGTTTCAATGCTGGTGAAAGCAGAGCAACTTCGTTAATAGAATGACCGGGTTGGTTAAAGTGTTGAGCAACAGGGAGATATTTTTCGGTGTTAATAGAAGATTTATGGTTGTTGAAACGTCCTCAAGAGTTGTTTGCTTTGATGAATGTGCTAGTTGTTTACACTTGCCTTGTGTAGAAAAGTGTCAAGTTTGTTTGGAAATGAACTGGGGTTCGTTTTCGTGCTTCATTTCCTTGTTTTGTTATCATTCGCTGAGACTTCCAGTGCTCACATTAAAGTTTTTCGAGAGAAACAAGCTCAGTTCTTTTACCGATCAGACCGTAACCACCCCCTCTGGTGGACTTAGTTCGTTCCAGTTAGCGATAGAACATTGTTGTTAGCACTGTTCTTCAAACGAACCACACCGAAATGAGTAAGACAAAAAACCTGAAGGACCTTAGAAATGTACCAGAAGATGTTCTTTTGTAAGTACACCAGAAGAACAAGACTCTTTCTGTGATTAAAAATCCTTTTTTTTCTTGTATCACAACAAATCGTGGACATACTGACTCAGCCAAAAGGAAAACAATGAATTGAACAGTAACAATGTTAACTTTAGTCTGTCACGTTACGTTGTTAGTCTATATGATAATTATTTATGTCTTAAACTGTTTCGTCTGTTTTGTCTTTAGTATGTAGAGCGCTTCAACAGCTTGAAAGGTTTCAATATTTAAAAAAATACACCAACATTAACTTTAAATTGGATGCATGCTTCAGAGTTTTATGTAACAAAATTCCCATAGGGGCACATCAACTTGAACTTAAAGAAAACATTTAAGTTTTATTATAAATTTGTGAGTTATTGTCTAAAACTAGGTTACTATGTTGCATGCTTTTCTTTGTTCGAATCTGAACTGGACTATAAAACACTGTAGATAAGGTAAAACTGACAAACAAACCAGACTGATCACTTTATACATTTTATATTTGATACATGTACTCTAGCAAAACCACCTGTCAAACATGGTTGGATTATAATAGTTGTATACCCATCAGTTAGTTAATAAATCCAAAAACTAGCAGTGTGAAAGTAAAGGTAATTGTATTTAATTATGACAGACTAGCGCTGTATACAAATGTATGAGAACACATGGCAAGGCGCTAAACCTAAACAACAACAACAAAAAAAAAAACGTAAATAGAGGTTATCTTTGAGTCAATATTTGGAAGGAATAAAACGTCATCAGCAAGACCACTGATTTACATTTTATATGTAAACTGTTCTCTAGTTAACTCAAGTTCTAAAGGCTGTTTCAAATACCCATGTTGCCTTTATTACCGGCTTGTACTTCTTCAATAGTAAATTATAAAATGTTAAGAAAAAAGGCCAAAAAATGATTACTTTGATATATTACATGTAACACCCATGTAATATATATATATATGTATCAGTGCATTATGCAAATTAAACCCTTTGTTTCTTTACGCGTGCTTAGCACGACTGAGTGCTAGATTCTGTTTATTTTTAGCCTAAGCTGATATAACTGCTTGTCTAGAAACTGCTCTTGATAGTTGGACCAGATTGGGAACTTTATATGTCACGTGACAAGATAATTGTTTGGTTACTACTATAAAACGTTCATTTAACAGTACATTACGTGGATTACACATAGACAAATATAAGTTGACCATTTGATATAAGAAGTAAATTTGTGATTCACAATTTTATTGAGACAAGTTGAAGATAGATAAATGAAAAATGACCGAACTGTTAACCATTCTACCTGCTCTACTGCCGTTAGGATTGTTTATTTTGTTCCAAACGTTCACGTACAACATCATTTACACTACGAAGAAAGTGGATATAGAATACGATTATATCATCAGTAAGTACTTGTTAAACTATACATTGTAAAATGTATATGTGTGGATATTTTATCAGTAAAGTAAAGCTAGGATTTTAAAGGTTATAATGTCAAAGTTAACCTAGCGAAAATGTTACGAAATGAGTTTCTTAGTAATTATATAAAGCAGAGCAAGTTGCTGTCAACTATTGTAAATTTAGTAACAGGTTTCACCTCTATAGTGCTGGTAAAGCATGTGTTGCTACCTCAGTATTTATTATTTAAATCTGTACACTATCGTCTTATTTGAGCAGAACATTAAAAAACATTCACTATTCCATTAGTAAACGTATCAATTACTTACGACTCACAGTTGGAAAAATAAAGACTGCGTCTCCAGCACGATACTAAAAATCTATAAAGCTTATATACGCCCTGTACTAGAATACACTAGAATACGGATGTCTAGCTGACAACACTTTTAAAATTTACAACAGCAACATGATAGAATTATCAGATTAGCCCTAAGGCTTCCACGCTTTACCCCAATTAGATGCATACACAAAATAAATAACTTGTCGTTACTAAGAGAAAGAATGACAACATTGGAAAGTAAGTTATATCACAAAGCTGAATCCAGAAACACACTAACCTCTCCCTTCCACACGCTTTCGAGTGCGCCACACAAAACAACATTGACTTAAAACCTATACTGCGAACAAACATAGATAGGATGTCAAAAGACTAACCATGCAGCCACACGGACCTTTGGGTTACCTGATATGTTTTACTTTTCAACTTGGGCATAGGACAGGTAGATTATTCGACGCCTGTCTTGTGAAAGTGGGGTTTCTCGTGGTTCTCTTATTTTTTCCCCTCCCACTGCAACTAATTTTATGACATTGGGTTTGTTTAACCCGGCCATGACATTGGATTTATAGATTCCAGCCACCCGTCAGCCCTGGCCTTCACCCTGCCAATTTTACTGTTAGCTTTGGTTAAAATTTTAGATTTCATTATCTATCATTTAAATTTTAAATTCTTCCAAATTACAGAGAGAGAGAGAGAAAAAAAGAAATCTTGACTTTTGAATGGCACAATAGGCAACATTTAACTTAGTTAAGTAAAATTAACACGAGTGGAGCGAAGGGGAATAAGAATATATCCGAACACTCCGGTTGGGAAATTAGGAGAATTTAAAGCTAAATCCCTGCCATGTTTATAAGTTTCGCCTATACAAAAGTGCTTTAACACAGAAACTGCAGATAGTTGTGATTAAGTTTCACTGTATTAACAAAATTCACTACATAGTCAGTTAATTAATACTCCTGTTTGTCATTCACCTGTGTATGTTAAACATTAATATAATTAGTGACATATTCAGTTCACGATGCAAAAATTTCCATATTGAGAGGTTTTCATTAGCACACATTTCCAAATATAATAAAACTATCGATATATTCTTATATACATACATTTAACATTTCTAACATTTATTTACACATACATACATATATACATACATTATTATTATATTAAGTAACGGATAAGAGGATATTGAAGGTGTAAAACATGATGCACTCTTCTACACCATATAGTCGATAGATTTTGATTTAATAAGAATCCTGAATAAATACGAAAATTGTAAGAAAATATGCTAAAAATGTACCACATTTGAATGGAAATTACACCTGATTTGGACCATTGTTTTCTATCTTTTTGTCTGTAAAGTTTCTTTGTATCTGAGAGTTTATCACAACATGCTGACCATGACAACGTCAAGAATTTGTAACTCGTCAACTCTGATAAAAACTTTAATACGTCTCTCAGTTCCATCACACTTTGAAGCCTTTAGAACTGGTCCTTTGAATAATCAAGGATTAATGGTCCATTTACTACTGTAATCATCAATGGAATTTGTTGAGTATGTTTAATCTTGTTATGCATAAATCTCGTTCATTCCCGTGAACCACCAGTGTTGTATTGGAACTGGTTTATACGAGAATTACACGAAATTTTTACACCATAGTTGAGAGTTTAGTCTTAAAATAAACACAGAAGTAATAATATTTCATTTTCGTAGGGTGAACATCCATAATTCTAGGTGAATTGATTATCTTTTCCCACAACCCTAGAGTTTTTACACAGCTGGTAAAATCTTCCATAAGTTAGACTCTTTCTGAACTATAAGTTTTAATAGACTCTAAAAAGGCGTGGAAACAAAAACATAAGGAGTAAAAAATGTATGGCAGACAGATATAAACTATAGCCCAGGCTGCAATGTAGGAATGGAAAAAAAATGCATCCTAGTAAATTTAAACTTTGTACCTGAGCTATAAAGTAGGGCTCTGGTGCTGTAGTTAGATTCTGTGTTGATAATAGTAATTACGTTGAGTTTGTCAAGGCATAAGTACTCATAGTTTGACTGAAGAGTCATTCATTACTCATGAAGTACGTCTAGCCAACAGATCGAAAGAGTTCAAAGACGATCCCTATTCTTTATACCTCGTCACGTATTACGTCACATGGTTAATATGGCTAAAGGTCGGGCGTGGCTAATGAATAGCATGCCCTGACTACGAATTTAGGTATTTATGGTTCGAGTCCTATTGCCAGGGAAACGTGCTCCGAATTTTCGAGACGTGGGTGTGCTATAAGAGTAACGGTCAAATCCCACCATTCTTTCACTCGAGAGTAGCTAAAGAGTTGGTGGCGGGTGTTGTTGAGTAGTTTTCTCCCTTCTAGCTTATCAATAATTGAAAATTAGGGACGACTAAATGCAGATAACCTATTTTGTAGCTTTGCGCGGAATTCTGAAACAAACATACAAAGAAATAAACATTCTCGATGTGACGAATGAGGGTGTGGCAAAAATAAGATATTGAATAAAACTCGAATAGCTATGGGAGCATGATGAGTTCTAACTTCAAAATAACCATGTAACAAAATATCCTTTTTCTGGAAATAGAGGACGAAGGAGTGAAATTATTAGAAGAATAAAAAGGCATGTTATTAATTAAGGTCTTGAATGATTTTAATAATATATATATATAAAACTGTAAAATGAATTATCGCCCGAAAAGAAACATAAACGATAGGATTAGGGTTCACTATCTGGTTAATTCATTCAAGGGTTTATCCCCCCCCAAAAAAATGTTCTAAATTAAGCCTTTGACAAATTTATTATATATTTCGCTCTTTTCGTGATTACTGAATTTAGAAAGACTATTAGTTTTGGAATTAAGAAACAAAAGTGTTATTGATTTAATTAATCTAACACTAAATTCTTTAAAAATTATGATCAAAGTATAATTTAAAACGTATTCTTGAATACTGTAGAAGTAATCTCATTAATATATTGTTCAGAGTTTAATTTTACAAACTCCTGTGCAACGCCGAGATCAACATGCGGGGTTTCCCCTACAACTTTAGGCAATGTGCAGTCCACCCATATACATTGAACTCAATTTATGACGTAGTTGATGTGTCATAACCACTACATGCATTGTGTTGTAGTAGATGTACAACTTAATTTTTTTCTAGTGTTTTAATACACAGAAATGTGCATGTGGGCTTGCAGTATTCCTTGTCTAATGATGATGTCCTAATCCTTAAGCAAACTGGGTTAGTTTTGGAAGTCGTTGTGCCTATTATTCTGTCCTGCGCTGAAAATATTGCTAGTGTGGTCAGCAGCACGAGGAACAGCTGACGAGTTAGACTAGACAGGTTTTACAAAAGGAAATATTTCTCAAACTATTGCTTCTAAATATACGAAACTGTGGAGTTAGACGGTACTTTAAATTCCTAATTTAAGTGTAGCTCTATTTTGATTTTTTGCGTTTGATATTGTAATCATTTTCGCTAGACGATCACACCGTAAAAAATATACATTCGTGACTTATTCTCTAAGTTTTTTTTGACAAGTAATCCTTCATAATCAAATAATTATCTGCACATTATCATTCGATTTATTGGGTCTTTGGTATATATTTCTAGAAACACCAATTAAAAAAAAGGACCAATGACATCATGTGATGGGCTTAAATTAGAATAAAAAATTGAAAATCAGGAAATGTTTTGATCTACCATTTTGGCTGAACCTGACCTTGTTTTCCAGTGTTTGAGTGATGTAATAATACTGGTACTAGTATGTTAAACGAAGTTATTTGGGGCATTTTATACTTTTAATCTGTTGTTAATATCACGAAATAGGTCACGTAAATAAATTAACATGAGATGTGGTTTTTCAAAATGTTACGTAACACATTCTAGACAACCTAGATAGATATAAGTATTTCGCGCCTTCTTAAACGTTGTGGCATATTGTATCATTGTACATACATAAAAAACTATTGTAAAATTATGCTTAAGCCACCCAGAAACGTGACTCTAGATGTGCACGGTGTTGACGCCTAATTACTGCAAAGAAGTAGACATAATACTATTTGTAGTGCCTTCTTTTCGACCCCCAATGACACGGCGTTGTGTCAGCTGACATAGAACGCTAGAAAGCGGGTTTCGATATCCGTGTTGGGCATAGCACAGATAGCCCATTTTGTAGCTTTGTGCTCATATTCAAACAAATATTATTTACACATGAAAATATTGAACCACTTTATTCATCATACACTTTTTTTTTGCAAAAGATATAGTAAAACGGGTAGTGTTTACTGTGCCGTGTAGTTGTGCAAATTATTGGCCTTATCCAGTTTTCTGTCACTTCTACTGCTCCTGTCTAGCAAAACAACGGCATTATTATTCATTATTTTGGGCCTGACATGGCCAGGTGGTTAAGCCGCTCGATTCGCAATATGAAAATCGTGGGTTTGAATCTCCATCATCGAACATGCTCGCCCTTTCAGCCGTGGGAATGATATAAAGTGACGATCAATCCCACTTTTCGTTGGTAAAAGAGTAGCCCAAAAGCTGGCGGTAGGTGATGTTGACTAGCTGCCTTCCCTCTAGTTTATCACTTCTACAACAGGGATGGCTAGCACAAATAGCGCTCGTACAGCTTTGCGCGAAATTCAAACCAAATCAATTCATCATTTCTCCAAAGTTTATATCGTAAATACAAGTCATGTACACCACCACCAGGGGATCAGAAGGTCCATCACCTCTCCACTTTTTTTTGTTTGTTTTGAATTTCGCGCAAAGCTGTACGAGCGCTATTTGTGCTAGCCATCCCTGTTG